TTTTACATCGCTGACATCAAGTAGCATTCAGCTTTATTGTAATCTGGACCAGTTGTTCTCAGCCCGTGTGCTGTGACTCTTAAACTGCTGCATAACTCTCATGTTCGATAACATGAACACTAACACGAACAAAAAATGGATACGATATGTCATGTAACTGCAGATAACGTAAATCTAATGTAACCTAATGCATTTTAACATGCAAGTACTGTAGTTCAGCATTACAGTTTTAAAAACATAGTACGGTTTGAACACATATTTAAGCTTTTGCATATTAACATTATTGGGTAGTACTGGGCAGCACGGTGGCACGGTGGTTAGCACTGTTGCCGCACAGCAAGACGGTCCTGAGTTCATCCAATCCAATCCAATCCAATTTTATTTATAAAGCACTTTAAAATACCCAGCACAGGAACAAAGTGCTGTACAGAAAGTAAGTTAAACAGCAAATTAAATAAATAAATCACATAAGACATAAAATTAAAATTAAAACAGCCCTATGTTAAAACAAAACAAGATAAAACAGCATCGAGTCACCTAAAAACAACTAAAATAAAATAAAAATAAATATAAAAACCAACATCTCACGTGGTGTCAAAGGCCAAAGTAAAGAGGTGGGTTTTCAAGAGTGACTTAAAAACAGGTAAAGAAGTGGCCTGTCTAATCTCTAAAGGAAGCTCATTCCACAGTTTGGGAGCTGCTACAGCAAAAGCACGATCTCCTCTAAGTTTACGCCCAGTCCTGGGTATCTTCAGGAGCAGCTGATCAGCTGACCTGAGAGAGCGGGTGGGTGTATAAGGCTGTAGCAGCTCAGAGAGATAAGATGGGGCGAGGCCATGGAGAGCTTTAAAAGTAAATAAAAGAATTTTAAAATGAATCCTAAAAGAAATGGGCAGCCAGTGAAGTGAAGCTAAAACAGGGGAAATGTGCTCAAACTTTCGAGTGCCAGTTAAAAGACGAGCTGCGGCATTTTGCACCCTCTGTAGGTGACTAATATATAATGCGCTGACCCCAATATAAAGTGCATTACAGTAATCCAGCCGAGTGCTAACAAAGGCGTGGATCAGGCCGGGGTCTTTCTGTGTGGAGTTTGCATGTTCTCCCCGTGTTTGCGTGGGTTCTCTCCGGGTACTCCGGCTTCCTCCCACCGTCCAAAGACATGCAGCTTGTGGGGATAGGTTAATTGGATAATCCAAATTGCCACTAGGTGTGAATGTGCGAGTGAATGTGAGTGTGAATGGTTGTCTGTCCCTGTGTGTTAGCCCTGCGACAGACTGGCGACCTGTCCAGGGTGTACCCTGCCTCTCGCCCAATGACAGCTGGGATAGGCTCCAGCGCCCCCCGCGACCCTGAAAAGGACAAGCGGAAGCGAATGGATGGATGGATGGATGGATGGGTAGTACTTTATAATAATGTCACACTATTAATTGATAAGGTATTAAAAAGTGCTTAATTTACCATTCATATATAATTCGACAACCTTAATATGCCATTTATAAATACAGATATATTATTATGACTATGATTAGGATTATTACTAGCAGTGATATAGTAGCACTGATAGCTGTACATAGTCACACCATGTACAGCAGTGATAGCTGTAATGGCATAACAGTAACAGTTGGATAAACATATCTGTATTTGTAAATGTCATATTAAGGAGCAGTAGTGATATAAAAATGATGACTTAAGCACTTGCCTTATACAGCCTTACTAATGCTTAATAGTGTTATGTTATAACAAAGTGCTAAAGTGCTTTGAAGCTGGATTGAGGATATAAGTACATAAAATTAAAGTTCTGAAACGTTTATTTCCATCTTGTTAGAGAACAGAACATCACATCATGGGGTTGGTTGGGTGGTTGCAGTTAACTGACTTACATTAGTTTATGTTAACTAACTAGTGACAGAACTGATAAGTCAGTGCAAAACAAGGGGACCAAAACTAGCAATCAGTCTAAGGGGATCACTTTTTCACTTCAAGTAAACATACGATTTATGGTTTTAATGGTCGTTGCACATCTTCTTAAGCTGATAACTTGGATGTGTGTATACCAACAGACTGTCAAACTAGGCCAGTGCTAATGGAGTTAATCCCCAAAACCTTTTGCACAGTGGTCTTGTCAAAGGTCTTGCCTTGTTTAAACAATGAGGTGATGTTCAAAAGGACAAAACAAAGCACTCTTTATTCCTGTTTTGTTAATTTGCTCTTGTCACCCCAACTAACTGAATGAGTTCACATGAAAAAATATTGTGTGTGAGATCTGTACACATGTTTTTTTTTTATGGTGGAAGTAGATACAGTAGCAAATCTGCAATCTAAAAACTAAATTCCAAAAATCAAACTAACAAATTCTAAGACTTATGAAGCATAATGAACCAAAAGTAAAACTGTAAACTATGTATTTGATCCTTTTCACAGCTTCATGTTATGTTATGATCATAACATTTTTAACTGTTGATAGAATCAGGGTAATTTTGTCTTAGTTTAATGTAGATATTTAAGCAGTATTTATGGTATGGTATTTATTTAGGTATGGTATGTGTTTATATTTAGTATGATGTATTTTGTATAAAATCACTTTAGCCAAAACATTTTGCTTGAATAGTTTTTTAACCTGATATACCTTGTTTTCATTCAAGGTATTACAATAATTTCAGTGTAATATCTAAATATGGCAATCTTTTCATAACAAGCTATTTTGGGATTACCATACCTTATTATTGTTGAGGGGTTTTATTGTTTACAACTTTTTAAATGGGCTGTGATAAACGGGTGGACATCTAAAGTGACTATAAATGGGCAGTTGCACAGCAAGAATGATTACAGCTTAATATTTGACCTCTATCACATGTTCTGCCTACTATATAAACGCATCATTTGAATGCCAACCTAACGTCCTGTAAGAATGTCTGTTACAGAAACTAAATCAACATGTTTGATGGAAGCATGTCAATAAACTACAGGAGGAAAGTGCTGCTTTTATGTTCAACGAATACAGTTTAATAGTTTCCCCTGTTTTGTATGCGCTCTGCTTGATAAGCCTGTCATTTGAATGACATCCAGAACTACTGTAAGAATGTCTGTCAGAGAAAGTTAATCAACATGTTTGATTTAGTTGTGTCAATACACTACATCAGTAAAGTACTGCTTTTATGTTTAGCGATTACAGCTTCATATTTAACCACTGTTAGGTATGCTGTCTGATATGAAAGCTAACATTTGAATGACATACAGTCAGACATACAGTCAGAATTTCTGCTACAGTGACCTACTCAGCATGTCTGTGTTTAACGCTCCCCTGCAATAGTTCAGCTCAGGCAGCTTGAAGATTTTCAAGCTGTTTGTCCTTTTTTTCCTTAAATCATTGCAACCAACCAAAGCACCAATGGCTCAACTGCCTTTTCTCATGCATGGTCATAAAGTGTAAGAAGAAGGTAAGATTATTTACTTTGGAACGTTTCTTTAAAGTGCCATACCAGAAATAAAAATAAATTAATAATATAAAACAACAAATTAATTAAAAGCTGGTCTGTATAGAGACGTCTTCAGCTGCTTTTTGAAAGAGTCAGTGGAGTCTGCACAGCGTAAAGACAGTGGAAGAGAATTCCACAACCTTGGTGCCACTGCCTGAAAAGCCGGATCCCCACGTGTTTGGAACCGAGTACATGGGGCCAAGAGCAACCTCTGACCTGAAGACCTAAGTGCTGGGGAAGAAGCATGAGGTTTCAACAGGTCAGAGATACATTGGGGAGCTTTACCATGTAGAGCCCTAAAAGTTCAAACTGAAATTTTAAATTGAACCCTAAAATTTATTGACAACCAGTGAAGAGAAGCCAAAACAAGAGTAATAATAATAATAATAGTGATAGCAAAGTAATAGAAGTAGTAAAGGAGCAGAGAAGCCTCCTGTCAGGATTTTTCAGTTTTACTTAATTTAGCATATTTAGAAATTCACTTTTCTCCGATTCAGACCAACACTCTGCAGTAATGGATGTTTTTCTAACACTTGTTTGAGGTTGGTTTGAATGTTATGACATATTATCAAATGCATGTTAGGGAAATCATTTCTGACAGTGAGGACAGTGAGATAGATAACAGTGAGGAGGAGTGAAGAAGAGATGTAGAAGGCAGAAAAACAGTAAAAAGGGTTTAAAATATTGCTTGTCTGGTTGTTACTGAACACATTTAACCCTCCTGTTGTGTTCGTCTCTCAGTAACAGTAATGATGTTCCTGGGTAAATTTGCCCCGGGGCATATTTAAACCGAATAGTTAAATAGTTTTAATAGTGTAAAACTTCTTTGCTTGGATTAATAAGTGTAATCACCATAAAAGATGAAAACCTGCAAACCCTCCTGCATGTTTATATGGCATAGATACTGTTTGGGTCAGTTTGACCCAGCTGTCAAATGAACGTTAAAGACCTCAGAAGTGTCAAATAATATTTGTTTCTTTGCATTTGTGACAAATATGTCACTCCAATTACACACACACATAAACACATACGTGCACAGACTCCCTATCCTATTGACTTCATCTGTAAAGTGCAAGAATGTAGATGTTGTTGTGACTTTTAACGGGAACCTTTTCTGTTCCCATGAGCAAACTCCCCCTAGTGTGTGTGCACATAAGTGGAGATTCAGCAGAGAAGGAGTAAAAACTTAAAGATATAAAGGATTTTTTTTGTTTTTAACACTTTTGGGTCATTAACAGATGAAGTTGAGTGAGTGATTTATTTTATTATTTTTTATTTGACAACTTTTCTGAACTGGTGACTTTGCACCTTAAAAAATAATCATTTGTAAATATTCTTCTTACTCCTGCAAGTTTTCAAAGCTCCAATATGAATGCGATTTGACACTGAATGAGTAAATGTGCAGTTGCACTGTGTGCATCAAAGATATTGTTTGCTCAGCAGGCAAATCTCTTGACTCCTCCTCCTGAGCTGGATGTTTAATTCCTGTGAGGGGATGCTCGGGTAGTAACCTAATAAAGCTGCTGGATGCAATCCCAGGGCACAATGAGTGGATCATGCTCATCTGACAGACCTGCTTTCTCCAACAACCCTGCGCACGCACGACCTGCTGCTCCTCTGTAAGTACTGCAGGTCACAGCAATTACAACTTGTACAGTAGATAAAATGAAGAGTCAAGTGTCTCTGCTGGTTGAAAAGATCATCAGGACGCATGAATGAAATATATTTCACGTTATGGGGACAAGGAGAGAGAGAATACATTATTGCTTTCGGTAAGTTTTAGATTTTTGTTTGTATTTTTTTTTCAAAGTTATTGTTTGTTGTCCTGCAGGTTTGCAGGTCTTATATTGTTTTTTGAACGTACATTTTTGTTTTGCAGATATTTGAATTCGTACAAAACAGATTCCTTTTAGCATTAATACTCAAACAATGTACAGTCTTTCCTCATCCTGGTTAAAGTCCACTGAGTAGCAGCAATTAAAAGCTGTATGCTTTGACTCTAAGAATGATAATTTGCCCTTATGTACAATGTTTAAAGAATGCTCTCAATTGCATTTTGTCATGGAAAAGTCACTTGCTTAAATCCCTAGTGGAGTTATAAATGTTTTGCCCAAAGGCAGCTGCTCTGATAGGGTTCAGTACAATTCCAGCCACATGCACACACTAGGAATCCACAAGTAGGCTAATCATTTTTCTCATTATTCTTTTTGCCAGGAGGTTGCTGTCCTGGTGTAACTGTCAGAACATAATGGTGGCATTTAAAGGGATCTGGACCAAGGACTTCTGGAGGGCTGTGTCTGGAGAATACCTAGCCACACTCATCTTTGTCCTTCTTGGCCTGGGCTCCACCATCAAATGGGCTGCAGGGGAGGAGAAGTCTCCGCCAGCTGACCTAGTCCTTATCTCCCTGTGCTTTGGCCTTACTATTGCCACTATGGTGCAATGCTTTGGCCACATCAGTGGTGGACACATTAACCCTGCAGTCACTGCAGCTATGGTTGTAACTAGAAAACTGAGCCTGGCAAAGGCTGTGTTCTATGTGGCAGCTCAGTGCCTGGGAGCTATTACAGGAGCTGGGATTCTCTACTTAGTCACACCTACTGCTGTCAGAGGGTCCTTTGGTGTGACCACAGTAAGAACTTGGTTGTTATTATGGTTATGATAAATGTAAAATAGGTTTTTACTATTGTTCCTATTGTTTCTTTTCATCATTTGTTTCCCAACCGCATTGTTTCCTAATAAGGTATTCTGATTCTGAATCCTAGGTGAATCCCACCATATCCGTGGGACACGGCTTTCTTGTGGAGCTCCTGATCACATTTGAACTGGTTTTTACCGTCTTCGCCACCTGTGATCCCAAACGCACAGACTTAGGTGGTTCTGCAAGCCTGGCTATTGGTATTGCTGTAGTGATAGGGCACTTATTTGCAGTAAGTAGCTTTCAGCAAGTTAAATAAATACATATAGATAGAAACAATGTCACATTCACAGGAATGGTATATTCAGATCACTTATATAAAAAAAATGTAACTACATCAGAGCCTTAGAAATTTTCTGCAACCACATCTACATATCAGCTGACTCATCTAGTACTCCTACAACTAGCAGTGAAACAGATTTAAAGATTAACCTGAAGCTCACATTACATTCCCAAATTAAAGAATTTCAGTGCAAGTTCTTTTCCAAGTGCAAGCTTTTTCAGTGGAAAAAGAGCAGGTGGATCAAGCATCTATTCGTGAATGTGTGATACTCACACTTGTCAGTGTTCACACCTACACGCCATCGCATGGCAACCAATCTCTGGGGGCTTCCTGAAACCTGCAGAGAAAATGAATGCACAGGGAAACAGATATCATCTCTCACAACGCACAACTGATTTCTCATTTGGGCTGTTTACATACATACACACATACACACACACACACACATATTGATAATATGCAAATTTATGATGTACAGTCCTTTTAGACTAAAATCAGTATTATTATCCATATTGCAGATCCCATACACAGGAGCCAGCATGAACCCTGCCCGTTCTTTTGGTCCTGCAATGGTCACACTTAACTTCGAGAACCATTGGGTGAGAGATCCTTCTGTATGATGTTATTCTTACTTTAAGGAGTTTGTGCAGGCGAAATTTAATTCAGCATTTCTTCCCTGTTATAGCACAGAAAAGTCAGTCTTTCTGTGTGGAATTTACATGTTATAAATGTTAAATATACAGTATAAACATCCTTTTTAGGTGCGAAGTGTCTCTTTAAGTTGGTTCAGTGAGTTTTAGAAATGCTGAACTGAGATCAATGAAGTGCTAATCCTAATTGAATGAGTTGAGTGAACCCTTGCCAGACCATTTATTTAACTCGTCATAGCCTTCAAGGCGTCAAGTCACAGTTTATTAATGTGTAATTATTTGCTAATTAAAATAATTTGCCTAGCGACATAAAAATTGGGTGTTCCATGATGTGAATGACACCAAGTGTAACTCGTTCTCACTGTGTCTGCCGTCATATTCAGAAGTCACTTCAGCCTGCAGACACAAAATGTACCTACCTCTAACAAGGCACCGATTAACCAATTGACTAATTAAGGTGTTTGTCTTGCTGCTTGTGTTAGGTCTACTGGGTGGGACCTATTATCGGAGGTATCTTGGCTGCTGGTTTGTATGAGTACCTGTACTGCCCCGACCCTGAGATAAAGAAGAGGATGAAACAAGTCTTCAAGAAGGACCCAACGGGGAAATACAGGGAAGTGGAGGCAGGGGACATTGCCGTCAAGCCCGGCTCCATCCATAACATCAACGTGGAGAAAGCTGATGTTATGTTAACAGGAGAAGTATGACTATCACGTGCACTGGAAATGGAGACTAATTTGTAGAGCACAATCACAATTAAACTTTGGGGTTATCCAACTTTAAGACTTGCCCCCCCTAGCCACCCACCAGACACCACAACACGGCACCACACACACACACACACACACACACACACACACACACACACACACACACACACACAACCCCCTCCCCATCAAAGACTGTGTCTTTGAAACAGAAAAAAAAAATTCTGTCTGTGACACACCCGAACTGCACTGCTTTTATTGTCATAAAGCTTGCGTGATGCTATGCCTCAACATCTGCACCCTGTATAAATGATTTAGGAACAGTGTTGGCATGTGGCATACATTGTACAGCCCACAGTACATGAAGTTAAGGAAATGTTTGTAGGGTCAACCAATTATGTGAGGTCATCGCAGTGAATTGGAGGCGAGAAGAAGAAAATGCAGCCTTGTTATTTTTGGATTAGTGTCACATTTGGTCCTCATACGTTATATGTAATTAAAAGTAGAGGCTTTCCTTGTAATCATTAATCACATTACAGATCCCAAGCAAAGTAAGACAGCTCTGACAAGCATTATTATCAGAGTCAGAGCTGTGTTACAGTGCTCTCTATTTTCAGTGCATTAAGTTGGAGAAAAATAAACACAGCTCATTTTGTTTGAAACACAATGTCTTTTGTTTGTTTTTTGTTAAATAAAAATCAAACTCCACTTTTTGCTGTTTATTTTTATCATTTTCCATTTCGGAAAAATGTCATATTTATAAAATATTTTTCTTGTTTTTTTGTTTTATAGATCTATATTCTTGTAAGTGTTTGCTTGGCTGTATATCATATCTTCTCTTTTTTATAGGATAATTGGCTAATCTATGTTTATGTTCAAGTATTATTCAGTTATTGTGCTTGCAATCTGGAACATGTAAAACTGTGAAGTTGCAATAATAAACCTTCTACTACTCAGTTATCATTAATAATTCATCTTTCTTAATATTTCAGCCTCCATAAGAAAACTAGTAATGATACCTATATGTTGTTGTTTTTTTTTGTTATCCATTCCTCTTGGCTCATTGCTTTCTTATGGTAGGTGGTAGACTCCGGGGAAAAGATAAGTCCAGATCACTGATGTATTGGCTCATCTACACATGGATAATGTCTCCCTGTGGCCCAATAACTGTCTAGGATGTGTGTTCCTTGTGAGTTAAGTCGCTGAGAATATCTCCAAGTAATCTCATTTCATCAACAAAGCACAGGAAATGATAACGCTTCTGATAGGAAATAGAGGTGATCTATTATAGGATTTTTTTTTCTTAACTGAAAAAAAAAAACACAAAAAGAAAAAAATAGGTGCTATCTCATCTTTTTCTACAACATGGAGAAAATGATCAGCCCCACTGATTCTGTTGCATCCACTGAATTTGTCTACATGGTGCAACTAGATTGCATTTGCAAAGTGAAAATACAAGTATGAGTCAGATACTGACTCAAAAGTGTTATTACTCCCATATTGATAGGATCATACCAAAGTCACTGGCTCAGCACAACCTTTATATGGGACAACAGCATCATCTACTGGCCGTAGTGTGAGAAGGCTTCCCTTTTGCATTTCTCCAAGGGAGGGCAGCCACGAGCTTTTAATGGACAGGTTACGCTGCCATAGGCTGCAGACAGTTCGTCTTTTTCACAACTCTATATTTAAATCGATCTAGATCATCAAATGCAAAGTAAACAGCAGTATTAGGTCTCGTGCAGCCCCCGTATTAGTACAACAAGAGTCCCAGTAAGTTAATAATGATATTTTTTCTCTTAAGGGTTGTATTACAAGTTTAAAAATTGATTTAGTTATAGTATTTATTTATTGTGTGCATTTAAGAATGAATGGCAACACTTTTTTGTGTTACCATCAGTAATAAATATAGAGAAGTAATGAGGCGGAAACAAAAAGGTAATAACGTAGAAATAGCAAGTTATTACCACTTAATTTCCAAGGTAATGCCTAGGTAACTCTTTTTCTCACCACCCATTATAGCTGAGTAATATGAAAATACTAAAATTTGTACAACTGGTTATAACTAGAATATAATTAGTAATAGTATAATAATATCCTGGTAACAAAACAATAATAATAAAATGGTAATATGTATGCATTAGAATTTGTATATGCTGACTTTTGATAGCAACATCACAATAATAAGTTTAAATTGATTAACATTTGAAGATAGTATTACCATATTATAATGCTGGAATCAATACTACCTTATGTCCTCTGCATTCTTCTTTTTTTAAAATTAGCAATGCAAAAATGATGCTTCATGTTGTGGTTATTGCCTGAGAACACATGCAGCAGTTTCTGTGTAATAGCCAAGAGTAGGGCTGCAAACCCCAAGTGACCATTTTCAACTAATTCCATGTTTGTGTCCCATTAAAGCAAACTTTAAGAAATTTGATGAGTACCTGCAGATATGTGGTCGTTTATGTGTTTACAACTAGAAATCAGGCACAGAAATATATTCCAGCTCAAACTTTTTGAACTTTGCTTTAACTGGTTATTAATGTGGAATTAGACAGAAAGGGGAAAGGTTTGATTTTGAAGCCTTGCCTCCTATTTATTACACAGAAACTACAATAAATGTTTCCAAGGAAAAAGCCGCAAGATTAAATATAATGTTTTCATCGTTATCGTCAAAAAAAAAAGAATGCATTGGATATACCAGCATTATAATGTGGTAATAATACACTAATGTTTAAAGCATCAATAATATTGCCTTATGTTGCTAGCAGGTTATTATATTGTTACTAATATATTACTATACTGTCACTAATTGATTTGTTTCTACATTGTTACCTGTGGTTTCTGGCTTTTTATTACCTGATTACATAGATTTCAGCATAGCATCATTCATCATTACTTGGATAGTAGTCGATATTAATTTGGTAATTAAGTGGTAATAACTTGCTTTTCTATATTAGTACCTTCTTGTTTCTGCTGTGTTGTCCTACTATTACTATAACTGAACTGTCTGTTTGTGCTAGTGGTTTGCTCAGGATGTTGTTTGGTAATTTCCAACAGTCCCGCATTTATCTAAGAGTCATGTGCCACGAAATTAACTCCAACTGTGACTCTTCAGATACTGTTGTGTACTGGAGTTGAGCATTTACAGCACCATCCTTTACCTGCTTGCATGGGGCTATGTCCCGGCTTCAGTATTTTGAGTCCAGCACCCTTTCATTTATATAGCACAAACAAATGAGTACGTAAATCTGATGTTTTATGCACTGACTGTTTCCTCTCAAGACAGACGATGAGAAATTGATCGTTGGTTGGTTTGGATTTATTGGCCCCACTCATCTTCAACTTACATTGAAGAAGACAGGTGACATTTTCCTGATGAATATTTGTGACCTGAAAGTATATGTGACTTTTGTTTCCATACACAGACATTGACTCTTAGATAAATGTGGGACTGTTGGAAATTACCAAACAACATCCTGAGCAAACCACTAGCACAAACAGACAGGAAGCCATTCTCATCAAATGCCCGAGCTATACATGTTTTTATGCCAGAGTACCCAGAGACACCATACAGACTCTACACAAAGGATGCCAGCCAGCTGGAGGGTTTGAACCCAGAAACTTCTTATTGTGACACAACAGTGTTTATCATTGCACTACAACGCCTCACGAAAGTATATCAAACAAATATATCCACTCTATGTTGACAAACTTTCAAAAGTTTGCCTCAGACCCCTCAATTAGGAAAAGCTAATAAAAAGTGATAGCAAATAATACACCAACATTTTTTTCAGCTGTTGTTTGTGAACATCTTGAATGGCTTGTCAGCAAGATGTTGAACAGACAACTGATAACGCATGGTTAGCCCTCATCGCGTCTGCTTCCATGAGTCATTAATTTGCATTCACATTCAAATACCAACAATGGCTATATGATGGGAATATTGTTATACCCAAAGATTCATTTGCACATCACATAGATGCCAGAAAATTATATTTCAAAGTGCACCCCGTCCTTATCTAATTGAAAACAGACCAATTTCTTGCGACCTCAGATTCCCCATTCCCAGCATAGAATAGAAAGGGCAAAAGATAAAACATACACCTTAAAGATCATTAGCAATTAATATTTGGGGATTCGTGAAGAAAAACAGCGTTAAACACTTGTTTAATAATTCATACTATAAACAAGAAAGTCTCCCACTTCCTTAATAATTTAGACGTAAGCTAATGTTGATTTATTCAGGAAGGTCTCTGCCACCAGCACTGCCTGGAGTGCCCAAATTTGAATTAAAGTAGGACAGTAGCAGGCGAGTCTGTAATAACATTTGTATAATTTTATTATTGCTCTGGGCTCAGTTCATTTCCTCCTCCAGTAGCTGCGTGAAATTGTTTGATTCTGGAAACTGCCTTGAGTCTGCGGCTCTGGGGTTGGAGGGTGGTACAGGAACAGGAAGGCATGCGACACTCTCTCTGTCTGATGCTGTCAGAAACATAAACACAGACACACACCTACGCGCACACACACTAAACTCCACGTACATGTACATACACACATGCTGAAATGGAGCGAGAGAGAGAGAAATAACTTTGTTATTCTGGGTTTTGTAATACTGTTACATTGGCTCACTTAATAACTCAAGCTGTCTAGAGGATATGATTGATATTCTCACTCACCTTGTCACTTATGATAAATATTATGCTGCATTTATGTGAGATGGCTAGGAAGTGGAATAACTCGTTCATTACATTATCATATCACACAAATATGAGAGTTTGTGTTTATGTCCCTTTCTAGCAGGGAGATTGTCATTTCTTCCTAATATTAGTCAAAGAAAGTCAAGCAAAAAATGTTTCTGTGCAAAAGAGTTTGTTTGTAAAGTGGCTAATCTGATGACAGCCCAGCTTTTTTTGGTAACTTTACCACTTGGAAAGCTTTAATTTTATTTGGCCCATGAGGAAGAATTAAACTCCATAATTATTTGGGGGGGGGTTGCTAGGCTATCAACTCTTATCATGTGATTTCTAGTTTGTGTTGTTCCACTACAACTATATTGTGATTTTGTTTACCAATGATA